AAATCGCAGCAAAAATCGCCGCAAAAATCGCTAGTGTAAACGGGGCCTAATATATAGGGAATATTATCCAGAGGAATTGTTCAATGGCCTCTTGGTTGGAATGGGAGGTACGACCCCTAATACAGATAAATTTGACAGCGCAACTTTACTTTTGGTTTTGGCCTTCCGTCCACACTAAGACGGCAGTTTTCAGTCACTGAAAGTGATTGTTTTGCACTCCAACAGAGTGAAATTTTTTGAAAACGCTTGTTTAGGCTTTTCCGGTGTGAACGGCGAAAACGGAACAGTTTTCGGAAACGCAAGTAAATCTACGTAATTGTGGCATCTTGGAGAAGTATTTTTAGTAGTTTTTAGTATTCCCCTTATTTAGAAGTCCATCCGACTTTGGGATTATTCCCACTTATAGGACAATAATTTTTAGACGCAGAGCTGAAGCGCAGTATGGCATCGCGAAGCATTTACGGATATGCCGGAGTTTTCAACCCCGATCACCGCTATCCGAGGAATTACAGACTGATCAGGAAGCTCGGCAAGCACCTTAGGGAGAGGCTAGTCGGCCCCTGGACCATAGATGACCCCTTGCTATGACTAGCTAACTCAAACTTTTGATTGCGACATTTATGGCCTTCCACGCATTCTCCGCTCCTCGGCATTTGGGATGCGTTAAGTAAAACTAATACTAAACTCAAAGTTCATCATAGTAAATTTGATATATTTGCAAGTTCATCGGCTATGGAAACAGGATCTTAGGAATTTTACCTTTTTGATTTATTAAACCAGGACCATACTTCCAGACATCGAGTGCTTAACCGTCGTATGGCAGCGCGAAGCATTTACGGCTACGCCGGAGATTTCGGCCCAGACACCGCTATCCGACAACTTACAGACTCGGATCAGGAAGCTCGGTAAGAACCTAAGGGAGAGGTTAGTCGGCCCCTACACCGTAGATGATTAACCCCTTGCTATGACCAGCATACTCAAAATAATGTTGTGACACCCGATTGCTTTGAACTCATACTCTTTCCTTTCCATGTGGGACGCGTTTAGTAAAACTAAACTCACGAAGGACGACAGTGATCAGGAAGTTTATAGCCAAAGCCTATGGGAGAGGTATATAGGCGGTCCGCAATAGGTTGTTCTGTAAGTGTCAGATTCTGATGTACATCATTTTCCCAATTTTGAGATCGAAACTGGCAATTCTTTCTGTCAGTTTTGTAATTTTGCGTTGATAAAACTATTTTTCGTTTTTCGCGCGTCAACAATTTTCACCACAGGTAGCCCAAACTTATATTTTTTAGTCTTGGGAAGCTCGTCAAAAGTTGATATATGAACTCAAAAGATCTTCCTCATGGCTTGACTCAGCAAAAACGCTTTAATTTTGACTCCTTGCGATTTATGAATCGTGTCATCACGCAGTTCCAAAGCTTTTTGTTTCCCCGACGGTGGTGGGGTAAGCAGATTATTTGTCAGCCATCTGCGCAGAAGAAAAGCAACACTTCCAACATGGCGAACGTAGCTTCGCAATATTCCAGCAAAAAACTCATCAACAGACCAGAAAATGCCGTGGACGAAGCTCTCGAAGGCATTGTAACTGCCAACCCAGGCCTAAGCTTACTAAAAGGCCACCGTGTCATTATAAGAAATGACGTTGAAGACCTAAGAAAAGCTGGTAAAGTGACCTTGGTGTCCGGAGGTGGAAGCGGCCATGAACCTTCCCACGCTGGGTTCGTTGGGAAAGGAATGCTAACAGCAGCTGTAGCCGGAGCTGTGTTTACTTCCCCGCCCACCAAGTCCATCCTTGCTGCCATAAGAGCCGTGGGTACAAAGAATAAAGGTGGGACATTGCTTATTGTCAAGAACTACACAGGAGACAGGTTGAACTTTGGTTTTGCTGCAGAACGCGCGAAAGCCGAGGGTTTGAAGGTTGAAATGGTAGTGGTTGGGGAAGACTGTGCTCTTACTACGAAAGATAAAAGTGCGGGAAGAAGAGGGCTGTGTGGAACACTCCTGATACATAAGGTTTGTGTTTCTAATACATTTTTGGTTGGCTAACTGCACAGCTGACAGAGAGAGTGATTGATTTATATATGCATATAGATATAGCGCCCTCAATTTTATTTTATAACCATCCTAACACATTGAAGCCTACGATAACTTGTTATTAATAAGATTACATTTGATAATGTTTTCTTTGCAATGCTTGCTGTGGCAGTGACCTATCCAGGATTTAAATTGGTTAGGGGGGGATGGAGGTTGAGCCGCTGATATTAAACTATAACTATACATTGGTCAGGGGTGGATCTAGGGATGGGGTACAGGGGGAGCGCACCCCACTAGATGAGCTGATATCTACTGCAATATTGGTGTTTGAGTTTGTAAGCAAAAGGTGCACCACCTCCTAGACAAAAGTCCTGGATGGTGCCCCCCACCCCCCTTGAAAAATTCCTGGATCTGCACCAGTTGCTGATGGGAAGGGGACTGCAAATTTGTGATGGGCTAACCATTGAGAACTAAAGAGACACTCCAGTTAGGGACAGTTTGTAGTTGTCATTAGTTAGGGGATTCGTACAAACCTGTGATGTTTGTTTTGATTAGCACATAGCAATTTAAAATAATGTGGTGATCTAATATAATAAAATTAATATAATATATTATATTATTTGTTTTCCTCTAAACAAGATCGCTGGTTCGTTGGCTGAAGAGGGAAAGAGTCTTGAAGAGATAGTGTCTGTTGCCAAAGCTGCAGCTCAATCCATGGGTAAGTCAGTCAAACCAAACTATTATTCTCTTCCTAATATCATAAGTTTTTTTTCTCTTGGTTCTCTGGTTTTCTTCCCTCTGTAAAAAATTACATTTGAGCTGCATGTTGTATGTTGTGAATATTGAACATATTGGTACATAGTGTGTGTTATTGAGACCTTAAAGGTCAAAGCAAATCTGGTCCCAATTTTCATTTTGTAAATGGTAAGGGGCTGACTGTTACAGGGTGCATCGATACCACAGGAAAAAGGGTAAAAATATGATGTCAATTGAATTTGAAAACTTTAATAAAATGTTTTTTTTTATTTAAACATATTAACTCTGAGTTCTCTCCAAGAGCTATGCTCATCGCGGGAGATTACACAGTTAACAGTAATTACAAGGTTTCTGGAGTTTAAGAAAAAAGGGGAAAAAAGTTTAACATATAAACAAAAAAAAACACATATCTATAGAATAGTACAATTGAGATTACATCGTGGGAAATTACATGTAATGATTAGAAAGGAAAAAAAAGCATATATATATATATAGAAAAAGTACAACGGAAAAGAAAATAAAATGTTTTCAGTCTATTAGGAAAGGTATGTTTTTTTATTGGAAGAGGGATGGGGCTTCAAATGGGAAAGTCATCAGTAAAAATGTGATTTTTCCATTACAATAATTTTTTAAAATTCATGCCCCAGGATCCCCCCCTAGGTAGTATGTGTATGGGGCAAGCCTCATGGAAGAACCCCTTATGGCCTACAGGGAATAATGGTCATAAAATATGAGTTATATAGTTTAAAAAATTACTTTTATTTGATTCTAGGTACAATGAGTGTTAGTCTCTCTCCCTGCACTATTCCTGGCTCAGGCCCATCATTCTCATTGGCTGAAGATGAAATAGAACTAGGCCTTGGTGAGTCATTGCATGTTGGGATCATTTGTATCATTATGACCCGATAATTATGGTGATGATGATTATTATGAGAATGATACTGATGATAATAATGATGATAATGATGCCTGATGATATCAGATGATTTATATATAATGATGATGATAAGCAGGATGTTACGGATAATCCGACTAAATTATGACAATGAAGACAATAAATTGATGATGATGGATGATGATTGATGTTGATGTTGAATGATGAATGATGAATGATGAATGATGGTGATGATGATAATGATAATGTATTAATTAATACAAGCTTGTATTTTGCCTTTCAGGAATCCATGGTGAGCCAGGAGTTAAACGGATTAAGGTACGAATCCCTTATTAAAATATATCATGGCAAGAGGCTTCAAACATTTAATTCCTTATAGTTATACTGTATCATTCTTATTTTACCAGGGTAGCACTTAATAGCCAATGTTTAAGAAACCTGTTGCCTTCGTTCCGTGATCAAATTATAGTTTACAACTCTTTTCATTGCTACAAGCTGATCGATTGAGACAACAATCCCGACAGGGAAATTGGGTAATACACTTCCTTCAATCAAATAAATTGGTTGGTACCTTTATATTTTCTAAATGGCCATTGCCCTAATTCCTTGTTTCGACTGTTGTCTCAATCAGCACGTAGCAGTGAAAAGAGTCACTGCTATTAGTTGATTTTTGTGGAGGGAGAAAAACTGGAGAATTCAGAAAAAGCCTTGAAGCACAGAAGAGAACCTATAAGCAACTCTACTTGCAAAATAATAATTAAGACAATTCCAGTTACCAAACCCATGAGGACGCTGGCGAAAGGCGGTGCATTTACAGTGCATACAACATTGCTTCCCAAATGTTTCTTCCCCATTGTTAGACGAAGAAATAATACTCATGAATTTAAATTATTTTTTTGGAAAATTGTTATGCAAAAGCATGACCGAACAATACAACTAACATGATCTTGAAATATTCTACAGATTCAACCAGTAGATAGCATTGTAAAGACAATGATAGAACATATGACAAACACCAAGGAAGATGCAATCCATAAGATGACATTACACAAAGGTATAATTATTTAAAAAAATCATAGCCTGCATAGCGGCTCTCTGGGGGTTCAGAGAGAGACTATCTAGAGGGTAAGAGGGCTCTCCAGCGCAGGGGTTGGGGGTTGGGGGTCGGGGGAGGGGCTAATAAATTCAGTACTTGGTTGGTATTTGCTTCTGTTTCCATGGCAACATTTAAATACTTGTCATTCCCAAGAGAATATAATATTCTTTGCTTCATAGTTGTGCATGAGAAGACACATGAATAATCGAATACTTTACCAAAGAATTATATCCTCTCAACACACTTGTTAGTTTCGTGGATGGAGGAAAATCAAAAAACTGCAAAATAGTCCACATTTCCCTGTTGTGCACAGATAGCATATGAGGTAGCATAGATTGCATCCTGTTTCACTGTCTTATGCATGTAGGTAACCATACTAGCCTTATTTAATTAATGGTTTTTGCTGAAATTCTTTGGATTAAGTGGCTCTAATTGTGATTATTTCCATGGCAACACTGATTGTCATGGTTACTATTAATTGCTATTCACATGGTATGTATTATTTACAGGAGATCACGTGGCTCTGGTTATCAACAATCTTGGAGGCACTTCTTACTTGGAGATGAATATTGTGGCCAGAGCTACCATCCAGTACCTTGGTAAGAAATGATATGGAGCTGTCATAATGTATATTGCACTGGCGACACTAGGGCAGTCTATAGCCTGCTCAGGTTCATATTTCACATTACTTATATATATCCCTCTTTTACTCCGATGAGGAACTAGCGTCCGAAAAATCAGTACATTTATTTCATCTTTAGGCAGACTGTGTTAAATTTACCCTTTTATCATTACTGTTTCATTAGAATCACAGACACACCTCTCTCCACCCCGGTCCCCCTATACTGTACGTGCTCTTCATTTTTTTCTGAAAGACCCTCAAACAACTTCTGGGCTGATCAAAGTCAGGGCTTGGCTAACTCACCCATGGAAATGAACTATAGCATACATGTTAGGTACTGTCTTGCGGAGGGACAAAAAACTGGAGAAGAAACTATACAAAAACTTTCAACTCAAGGGAGAGAGCGAACAAATTCTGCTCACATGTGATGCAGACTCCAGAAATCAAACTCATGAGGTGAAAGCACTAGTGATATGCCACCCTTAATTGAGGCTTTGATTAACACACACATTTACACATGTAAAACCAATCACTTTTAAGAATTAGTGATCTGCCTTTGTATTGTGATACTATTATCTGTTCGTTGTTCAGTGTCTACTAGAGGTGTTGCAGTGGATAGGGTGTACTGTGGCACTTTGATGACCTCTATTGAGATGGCTGGAGTGTCTGTTACCCTGCTTCATTTGGACAAAACAAGGACTCATTGTTTAGGTGAGTTGAGCATGAGCTTTAAAAACTATTAAACAAACAAATGAACCAACTTCAGCTTTTATAGAGGAATCTCTAGGAATTGAAAAAAGAGTGGGTGGAAAACTTTGCTGTCATCCTGGGGGGAGGGGGGGTACTCTTGCCTGTTTAGGGTAGGGATGTACCGCTGAGGCCTCTGGACCCTGATCCTGTTCCAGAGTAAAATCGCTGAAATTCATTACCTGTTCCAGATTAAGACCACTAAAAACCAAACCCTGTTCTGGTATTGTGAAAATAGTTACCCTGTTCCAGAGCAAGGGTCATTTTATATACCCTGTTTCAGAGTAGACTCACTAAAACCATACCCTGTTTGGTGGCATGTACCCGTATAGCGAATATAGGAACCTCTATGGCTAACCAAAGTAAAAGGTCAGGGGGGGTCGCTGGCACTTGCACCCACCACTAAATCTACAAAGCTTTTCGCTGTTGTATCACAGTGTGGGACAATCACAACACGTTAGGCTCCAACTAGGTGAAAGCCCAAAGATCGAATTAGAATTTAGAAGTTGATTTTTGAGGAGGGAGGAAAACCAGAGAACCCGGAGAAAAACCCTCAAAGCACAGGAGAGAACCAACAAATAACTCTACTCACATATGACATCGAGATGCGCAGGACTCGAACTCAGGCCGCATTGGTGAGAGGTGGTGCATTAGCAGCACACGCCACCGGTGCTTCCCATAGTAGACAATCTTTTTTAAACTTGTTTAAGTTGGTGGTCATAATTTTGAGTCTAAAAGGGAAGTTATAACAGATAAATAGTCCTTATCAATCCTGTAAGACAGTGGATTTCAGTTTAAACAATCTGACAGGGCCTTAGTCACCAGTATGGTTGGTCAGATTCAACTGCACCACTTTTTTCCTTCAGAACCATCTTTTCACCTTGTAAAAAATATTTATTACACAAATAAATAAAAAAATCAGGACCACTTCTTTAAAAAAACAGATCACTATCCAAGTGGTGGCTATGGCCTTGTCTGAGGAGATAGTTTGGGTGTGTCATTAAGTGTCTTGAACCATGGTTGAAACTCTATATTTGGTTCTGTGATCAAAAGCTAGGATTCCAATGTGCAAAGGGGATGCTGAAGACGTCTTAAGAAAATAGAAAATATTGCATTACATTTGATGGATATATCAAATACAAAACGTTCCATTGTAATAAATATACATTTCCCTAAATGCAGACAGCGAAACCACTGCGCCGTCCTGGCCAAGAGCATCCATTTCAGCTGCAACCGGGTTTCTGCGGCACGATAAGAAGCCTCTAGAGTTTGACATTATGAAGGATGATGACAGTGCCAAAAAGAAACATACAACAGAAAAGCTAAATGCTGAAGGTAGCATTCAATTCAGTCAGTCGATAATATCCATTCATCCTATTCAATTCCTTTCATCCATCCTTCCATTCCATTTGTTCTATCAATCCTTTGAACCCTCCATTTATTCCATCCTAATTACATTAATTTATCCTATCCATTAGTCCCATTCATCCACTTATTCAAATTCCATCATTCAAATTTATCAACCCCTCCCACCCATTCTTCCATCCTATTTATTCATTCATCCCATTTATCATTACAACTATCCATTTATAACATCCCTCCACTCCATTTCCCCATTGATCAAATCCATACTTTCATCCATCTTTGCCATCTATCCTTCCACTAATCTTATGTCCTATTGAATCCCTGCTTGGCAAAGGAAAATGGGAAGAGGCCAAAAGAGAGACTGCTTGCATTCTAATTATTGTCCACAATAAAGTGTTTTTGTCTTTTAAGGTCAGTGTGTCTTTAATATCCTGAGTAAAGTCACAGATGCTATAATTTCTGCTGAGGGAAAACTGAATGAATTGGATAACATATCAGGGGATGGAGACTGTGGATCAACTTTAAAACGTGGAGCAGACGGTATGTATGTTAGTATGTTACCTAACTCATTTAGCTCTCATAGTTATTCTAGGTAACCTCTACCATTGTTTGGTAAATGTACTTATATCTATATTTCTCCCTATTGTAATCTCTGGTACAAATAAAGCACATTGTATTGTGATGGTGTTGAACATGATGATAATGGTGATGATGATGATGACTGATGATGATGACGATGACTGATAAAGATGATGACTGATGACGATAACGATGACTGATAAAGATGACTGATGATGATGATGACTGATGATGATGATGATGATGATGATGACTGATAAAGATGATGACTGATGATGATGATGACTGATGACTGTGATGATTGATGATGATGATGACTGAAGGTGATGATGACCAATCATGATGATTGATGGGGATAATGATAGTGATATTGATGTTAATGTTGACAATGAAGATTGTGAGTGATGATGGTGTTGGTGATGATGACTATGATTCTGATGATGACGACACTGATGATGGTGATGATGATGATGATGTTGTATACTAACAAAACTTAACAAAACAAAACAGAAGAAAGAAGTAAAGCTTAAGCACATGATTGGAGAATTTGGTTATAAATGACTTCATCTTTTTTTTAAATTTTTAATCCATGGAAGGCATCAAGAAAGCCCTAGGGTCAAAAGATTCTCCAGGTCTTGCCTGTTATCATATCCATGAGACACTACTAGCTATAGCCAATGTGGTAGAGGACAGTATGGGAGGCAGCTCTGGAGTGGTAAGTTACTCATTGGTAAACATGATGCATCATGGTCTAGCTTGGATACAAACAGCACCGTATAAGGCATGGTAAATCAAAGATGTTTGTACTCAAGCTAGACCACAATGCACCATGCCTGCTACCTCAGGAAAGTTTTATGGAAGAGGAACATTTTAAATGATTGTATGGACCATATATGCTGTAGTGAGTGCTTTTTATATAACAAAACAATAGCAGGAAAGTACAGCATCTAGATTTGAAAATGGCATTATGTATACCGCTGTTGCATGTTGCATACCAAGCTGGAAATACACTATGGACAATTTAAATCAATCACCTAAAGATCACAACAATATAAAAATTTCCCAAACTTTTTCTACACATTTTTCTGGCACATTTTCTTCTTTGCTTGAATTATTAATTTACTTATGGATATACATTTCAAGCTTGATAAGCAAAGTGCAAAAAGCAGCATACCACATGCAACATAGACTGTGAGCTAAGTCCCTCTATTTCCCTTGGTCACTGTCTGTCTGTCTGTCCGTGTCGATTGGTCGAGGAAGATTGGTTACAAGTCAAAAGTCCCTGGGGGAGCTCCTAACCAATCTTCCTCAACCATGAACACAGACAGACAGATGGACAGTGACCAGGGAAATAGAGGGACTTAGCTTGCAGTCTACATGAAACAAAACTTTTACCAACCATTTTTTGAAATAGAGGAAGGCTGACACCCTATTCCAATCTTCGTTTTCTTTGCAATTGATTATAAACTTCTTATTTATTTATTGTCTTCAGTTTTATAGTCTGCTTCTCGTTGGTGTTGCATCAGCACTAAAAACTGACACCTCCCTGCAATCATGGTCTAAAGGACTTGAAGCTGCCGTGCAGTCCATAATGAGGTACTGGTTGTTATAGTTTGCTACATGGTTAGAACTCTGAAACTTGAACATTGAATAAGTTACATTTATTTCCTATTGTTTGTTACAGATACGGGGGTGCTGAACCTGGTGACAGAACTATGGTAAGTATAATTAATGACAGACTCTCAGGGTTCAAAATAGCAGCCAGTACTGGCAATGGCTGAAATGCAAGTCAAACACCATAGAATCCCAGTTATAAGCCCCCCCACCCCTTTGATTATGAGCTCCACTGATTAGAAGCCCACCCTGATATAAGCCCCCCCTGATTATTAGTCCCCCTCCCCTGGTTATTAGCCCCCTATTATGAACCCCCTGGTTATGAGTTCCCCCGCCCCGATTATAAGACCACCCAGACATATTTCCAAAATGGCATTTATTTCATCTCCTTAAACAGTCCAACAATGCACTGCAAACTCAGATGGCTAATAAATAAATCAATCTAATTGGATTTGCCACTCAATGGTTGATATAAAGGCAGTTTGTAATGCTGTTTTACAGATAGATGCTCTAAACCCTGCTAGTGTTGTCTTGAAACAGCAGCAGAGTAAAGAAACAAAGCTTCTGGATGCTTTAGAGCTGGCAGTGAAGGTAAATTAAATTTTCGCTCCTTCGTATTCTTTTTAAGGCGATGTAACAAGCAAATTCTCATGTATCTCGATTTGCAGGGAAAAAAATTGCAGGCTGAACGCCCCAAAATTGCATTGCAGCTTGTTTTGAAAAGATTTCTGCAAGTTGCAAAAAAGTCAGATATTACAAGTTGCACATGAATAAAGTTACACTATTTTCTAATAAAATATTGCATAAGATATCATTGCGTTTATTGGTGCTTAATTTATTCTGAATCTCGTTCTCCCTCGAAGGCTGCTGAAGATGGTGCCCAGGCTACTGCTCACATGCAGGCCAGGGCTGGTCGCTCTAGCTATGTAAGTGCCGAGCATCTGAAGAATCCAGACCCTGGTGCTGTTGCAGTGGCAACATGGATGAGAGCAGCATATGATGGCCTGGTTAGTAGTCAGTAATCTGATATTTTAGTCGTAGTGATGGGCTGGCTGTGGTAAGGAAGTTAGTACGTTAGTTGGCTTCCGATTTTTTGAAAGTAAGCGGTATTATTAATTGTAGACAGGGCAGTTAATAAACGGATTCATTGTCTGCAGGGAATTTTAAGCACGGTGAGATCATGACGATAATGATTAAGTTGGGTTCCCTGTGTTATACAGACATTTTACTCGTGGGTACCCTGTGGTGCTGTTTTATTTAGAATATTGGTGCTGCAAAAAAGGTTGAAAATATGGGTTGAAAATATAGTTTGAATGGGGATAAGAAAAAAATATATTATGAATGACTGCCACTAAACAATACTGTAAAATGAACAGGAAATATCTCTTTCCTGCTGACGGTCTCCTTTTTTTTTCTTTTTCTTTTGCTGCCCCTGCCAGCAGAGAAAAATATCCCAAGATTTAAAAACAATATTAAGATTTATTTTGTCAAATTAAAGATATTTTCAAATATTCAATAAAATACTATAACGCTTAAAGTTGAAATATATGAAAGCTATAAAAGAAGTAAAACAAAGTAAAGCTTGTAAACCACAATAGAACTAAATATTAAAAAATAAATAAAAGTATTAATAATATGACGTCATCTTGAATAAATGTGAAACTCAGGACGGAATTTACTGTTTCCCTATCGCTTAATTGGCTTCATGTCTAAGCCAATCAAACATGACTAAAATATAAACCATCCAATCACGAAGCTTCTTTCTATCCTTTGTTTTATTGATAGAGGGACCGTAGTTTTTTTTGGTCACTGGACTCATAGTCTTGAAGACAAAGGCATTCTTAATGATTTGTATTTACAGTTTATCCTAAATCCAATCTGCTTCGCAACATCGGTTTCTTTATTTTGTCTTTACTTGCTTATGCATTAATTTTTCAGATTCGATATTGATTAGAAGCTTCACATTCCATTGAGTAAATTGATCGATCATTACTGACAGTAATATAAGCGCCTAATACATTTTTGGGTTACCCGTTTGTTTTGTTTGGGTTACCTGTGGCTGGACAATGCGTTTTGTTTGGGATACCACAGGTAGCCCAAGCTTGGTTTCTGTGGTGTCCTGCTATGAGGAAATGTATTTAGATTCATCAAAAATTTCAATAAAATCATTGAAACGTGAAATAAAGCCTCGAAATTTTACCCGATCATTAAGAAATAGCACTTCTTACTGGTGGGGGAAAAAATCTTAAAACGGGCTAAATTCAAAAAATAACCACGCAGTTCAAAAGAAGTGCTATTTCTCAATGATCGGGTAAAATTTCGAGGCTTTATTTCACGTTTCAAAGATCTTATTGAAATTTTTGATGAATCTCCATACATTTCCTTATAACAGGACACCACAGAAACCAAGCTTGGGCTACCTGTGGGGATACTTGTGGAGATTTTGGCTCCTAATAGCAAGTGACGACAGATCATTTTTATGTTTCTTCTTGCGTGTCGCCCTGCTATTACAAGTGACAACAGGAAAGACATCGGTATCATATATAGATCATAATAATTTCACGACTGCTTCGAGTGCAGGCACGCAGTAAAATTTACTTTTAGATAAAGCGAGATATCTTATCTATATGCAATACAAAAACTGTTTATGGATATGTAATCTTAGAATTACTTCATCTCGGGCCGCTGGTTCAGATTTATTTTTGTCGCTGGAGCCGGAAGGTTTGCACGAGAGTGACAGGAACGTGCTGTTTTTGAGGGGAAAGTGCAAAGAAAGGGTTATTTTGTGAACCTCAAAATCTCAGTCGATCGACGTAATAATGATCGAAGGACCAAGCAAGGAAGGAATCAAGGAAGAGAGAGGAGGAAAGAGGAAGGAATGAGAGAGGAAATATGGAGGAAAGTGAGAGCCGCATAGAACAAAATGAGGAGGTTTAAATGAGGGAAAAAAACACAAAAGAAGAGAAGAGAGAAGAAAGGAACGGAAAGGAAAAGTAAGGAGAATAGAGCGAGAAGCGAAGCGAGATGAAAGAAAGCGAGAGGAAAACAAAAAGGAAAGAAAAATAAGAAAGGAAAGGAAAAAAATTTCATCTATAGTTAAAATAGAACATTAGAAATCGGTAAAAACTTTTTCTTGTTTGCTTCATCTTATCATAATACGCGCAGCGCACTGAATATAAAAATAGCTTAAAGATTCAGACAAACATTGCATTCTGTTTAACCGCTACGAGGATTATACGAACCGATTTTATTATTTTTACTTAAAGTTACAATAATAACCCATGTAAACTAAGATCAACTGCGATCGGCTGTGAAAATTATCTGCTGAAAGTAAACTTGTAAGTTTTTTTTGTCCGAATTTCGCTTTTGTCTTCGTTTTTATGACGTCACGGTTGCGCTGCGCTATTTTCAAGTACATTTATGGGCTTTTTCATGCAAGACGACTAAAACATCGAAGCGAAAAGGCCGCTAAACTGCTTCGATATCTATATTGACGCGAATATTAATTGGTACTTGAAGAGAAATATGAATTTGAAATTTATGATAAAATTTGTCTTAAATTCAATAAGCATTACGTGATGGAATACGCGTTAGGGAACAAGAAAAAACGAATGGTCAAGCTCACTGGGTTTCGTAATTTCCTTCTCACTAAAAATAACAATTTAACTTCAAAATTTTCAAAATAACTAGCAAGTTTTTTTAAATGTCAGACAAAAATGTTTTTAATTTTAAACTTAAAGAATTATTTAAGAAAACGGTTTTCATCGTTTGAGTTTTTTTTTGCCTCAACATTTTTTAAATTGTAGGAATTTTAATTTAGGAATTTGAAGGACTTGAAGCAGTTCGTTTGCATACGGCCTTGCCGTATCTCGTATAGAATTTTCCTTGTGAAGCCAGTGATAACTTAAGATTTCACCTTAGGTTATACAAGATTCGCAGCTGTTAGAACACCATCGTAATTTTCATCATCTCGGTAAATCATTGGAGATAACTTATCGTTTGATGTTTAACTTAAAGTCACGCAAATATTTTAAATTCCATCACATGCAAATGTAAACGAACAGCTCAGGTTGATGGTTTGGAAATGCTCATTCATCGAGTGCTGCACAAATATGTCAGGGTCACTTCACTAAACTCTCAAGCAAACGCTTAAACCCATGAAAATGAGTGAAGATTCAGAGACAACCAACCAGTATTTTTCCGTTTTAACTCCCCTTTACAGTTAAATAATTTTTGAAATAATTCAAAGACCAAATTTTAAAAATGTTTTCAGACCGCGCTTGACTATATCACGACGACAAGCCATTCGTTTGATAACCTGCCAAATAACACTTCAATAAAAGAGGGAGCGAAGAGATAGGTCTAAGATAAAAACTTTATTTATCAAATATTGTTAACAAATATTGTTTTGTAGAAACAACATTGGATTTTGCACGCGAAGTCGCAACGAAATTCGAAATCCTCTTTATAGGATGCATACTTTCTTGTAGTTCCTGTTGTACCGGAAAAACTGATTCAATACTCAAGCTTTTTCACCAAATTTTGAAAATACTTTTAGCTGAATAAATTTTTTAAAAAATGAAAAATTTCTTTACTCATTTGAGAATTCCGAACTTTTTGAAAAAGAAACTATTTCAAAATGTATCAAAAATTACTTATGCTTTTTTTTACAAAGAAGCGAACATTTGCAAGGGTTTCCAGAAAACCCGAAGTAGAAAGCTTACAATTTTAATTCTTTTAAAAAATTTTTTTACAACTTTTCTTTTTTCTTAGCTACATTATTTAATATATAAAGATATATATATATATATATCTTTATATGCATGAATTGTCCTTTTGTGCAATCCTTTTTACAATATTGGCCTTAGTTCTTCTTGAGTTCTTTATATGCGAGTAAACACGGCTGAACCATGCCATCGATGACGTAGTTTGTCCTTCGTAAACACTTGAACGTTGACTTCAATTGGAATGTAAGTCTTCCACTCTCATGTTGAGAGTCGCGTTTTAAAAAATCCTTCAAAAGTTTAGTTTATTTGCATTTTTAATGAAGGGGGGAAATATTTTTAGTCCTCGACTGAAAGTCTTCGCATATTGATTGTAGCATCGAGCATTAAACTCGCAATGTTCTCTTGATCCGCAAGTTCAACAGGGAATTCACCCTCAGCGTTCTCAATCCGAGCATTAGCCCCATGATTTAACAAATATCGACAAATTTGGTCGTATCCTTCGCTTACAGCATAGTGAAGAGGGGTCCACCCAAATCTGTCTTTCTTGTTTACATCCGCTCCAAGTTCGATAAGCAGCTTGATGTTTTCAAGCCGTCCATCCAATGCGCTCTGTGTGAGTGCCGTCACCCCAGTTGCTGTGATTTGGTCCACGTTACAGCCCTGAAACATTTTTCGTAGGCGCAACTTTTCTTCAGGTTCGCCGTTCATCAAGAAAAAGTCTCGCGAAAGAAGAATTAAATCTATCGGAGTCATGTTTCCTCCCTTGGCGGTCTTCGCTTTTTTATCCTTCGTTGGCGATTCTTGAAAAATAAGCGATGACGTTCGAGCTCTTATTGCAGACATTTTTTTCGTAGAAATGGAGTAAACCGTCAAGGTGTCACTGTTCGACGCTGTCAGATTTGCTCTGAGCTGACTTCTCTAATAAAAACAATTTTTCCTTAAATCTTTTTAAAACTTGCGTTTTAGTTACTTTATCCCACAAGTAGCTTAGCTTTATTAGCCTCTCAAGAAAATCTGCCCTCTTAAGTAGTCCACGAGAGATGACTCGTGATAACATTACGTCATAGACTGCATTAAAATGGCTTTTCTTATCTTTTAAATCTAAATAAGGAATCATCAAAACAGACGCGTGATGACAGAACAGTTGAATGGCTTCCCAAAGGAACTCGAGTCAATATTACCCCAGGCAGAAGGAAAATACTATAAATTATCGGAAATATCACTACCTTAAAAGTCATTACTTGGTCATTTTCGATTTAAAAACTTCAGGGACTAATCGAAACGTAATGAGACCACACAAGGTTTTAAAAGTTCCAGAAAAAAAGCGGTCAACTTCAGAAGTGAAGAAAAATTTGAATTTTTTTTATCGATAAAAGGTAATTTAGAGATTATCCAAAAACTCTAAAATAATTCATAACGCCTTGACTTAATGATAAGAAAGTTCTTTGGAAATATTTGTTAAGATATCAGAATTTTAGCAAGTTTTTAGTCTAGGGGCTTTTTTGATTATCTATAATTTAAAAAAACTTTGAAAAGATAAAAAGACATTATTTAGATATATTTTATAAACTTACAGAAGTTTGCCAAAACGTTCTCAGGATTTTTTTTTTTTTTTTTTGTTTTTTATCGTTTTGTCGCGCCAAGGCATGCATTTATATTTTTAATCCTAAATACAAAATCCTTTTTAGCTCAGTGATTTCGTTGACAATATTAAAATAATGTCACTCCAAAAATCATTCTCTAGTATAATCTTCCGGCAAGAATTTAATTACTTTTGATATTTGTATCGGTGTTGAATCGAAATCCGAAGTGTAACATAAGAATTTTATTAGCTTTTTTTTTTTTTTTTTTTTAATTTCCGATATTCTCAAGTCACTGAAAATTTTATCTATTTTTCCATCTAAAGAAGTTAGAATCGTATAAAAAATCTGTAGCAAGGAAACCAGAATAAGCAGATAAAATAAGAAGTGGAATCTGTTTATAAACGGAGTAGAGAGAAATAGTGTGTGTGAGATAGAAAATAAGATAAGTTTTTTCGGTATAATATTCCTAGCTCAGTCTTAGCTCCAAGATTAGGAAAAGAACCGCGTAAATTCAAGTGATTTTAAGAAAAACTTTACCAAACCGAAACGAGATACCCAGACACTTTTTCATTGTCTTAAGCGCCGTGTTTACCAAGTTTAGCTATCAATTTATTATCTATCATCTTTATATTTTCTTTCCTTAACACAATATCTCATCAAAAACAAATGTTATGGCTCTGGCCTCAGCCGGTTATCTCTTTGAAGTGTCAGGTAATCCTATAGCACTAAACAAGCCATGATCACGGAAGTGCTTCAGCGGTATCACGTTTCCCTATTTATTTCTCTAATCTTATCTTTGGCGGGCTGTTCCAAGAAGTTCTGATACACCGACACGAGAACATCTTGAAATTTTAATGATTGTACAACGTTTAACTGCGTGTGAGACTTCTTAACCGATATCTTGATATATGGATTTTAATAGCTTAAGATTGGTGGTAGTTTCACTTAAAACTTGGATTTATTTTGATGTGTTAGACTTCTTAACCGATATCTTGATATATGGATTTTAATAGCTTAAGATTGGTGGTAGTTTCACTTAAAACTTGGATTTATTTTGATGTGTTAGAATGTCGAAGATATAGTTTCCATAGAGTGATTTTCGTATATGCTAGTGGGAAACGATACGGCAATTTCGTAGTCGTACCGTATCTTACCGTAACCGTAACAACGCGCCTTGCGTATCAAAGATTTCTGTAGACATTTTGAAAACAAAAGATTCCATATATGGTCAGAAGCCATTAAATAACACAATGGAAAGCCATTTCAATGTTACGGCATACCGTACCGTGTACGTGCTTGAACTCAATATACTTAATATGTTTTCCACTTAACAAATAGAGTGTCTGTCCTCTTATTGACGATAAATTGCGTCATCACATTGTCAAAGTAGTGTGGATTCACGAGGCGAAGCCGAGTGGATCCGCACTCTACTTTGACAATGTGATGACGAAATTTATTGTCAATAAGAGGACAGACACATAAAAAATTGATGTCTATTTGTTTTTTACAATAAGAAAAACGATAAAAACTTCTCATTTTTTATTGATCAAAACAACCAACGGAAAGAGCGCGCGCTCGTTGACGTCAGCTTTATCTGTCTGTCCTCTTATTGATGATAAAAAATAACCAATCAGCGCGCGAGAAATTTGTAAGTTATTGTAAAATTATACATAAACCGACTTGTAAAATGCCTGAAAATTTAAAATTCTCGATGTACACTGGATCTCATAGCACGCGCACGCTCGACCGACGTAATTTTTCAAACATGAATGAGGAATGAACGAGAGAGGCCTAGGGTCGAGTGGTTTCGGCAAAAGTACACGAAACACGAAATAAGTCTTTGCGCATGCTCGTAATAATATTCCATATTTCCTGTCTTACTTGGTTTACCACTGATAGACTCCACTAAACTCATGGTATTACTCATTGTCTTGATGATTTATCTTTGTTTTTCTCCGGTCTGTTTTCTTTTGCCTGCGCCTACACTAAGGACGACGCCAAGAACTGCTGTACTATACTGCTCTTGCAATACTTTCATCGTCAGTCATCATCATCATCATCACTATCATCATCATCATCACTATCATCATCGTTACCCTCAGCAACACTATTATTATCATTATCATCGTCACAATCATTGCCATCATCATCAACATTTTCATATTTGCCACACAAAGACATCGTAACTACGTTACCAGAAGGAGGTTAGCATCATACTACATGTCCCTAGCGATCAAAATCATCATTAATCTTAGCTTAAGTCCAACAGCCTCAGCTGAACTATCTTGTCCTTGTGAAATGTTTCAATGTGTGCCACACACAGACATCGTATAACCAGGTAACCAGAAGAAGGTTAGCATCACAGTGACCCTAGCGATCAAAACCATCATTAATATACGCTTAAGTCCATCCAAAAGCGTCAGCTGAACTATCTTGTCCTTAATGTGTGCCACACAAGGAGATCCTAACTACGTTACCAGAAGGAGGTTAGCATCACAATGACCCCTAGCGATCAAAATCATACTTCTATATCTAATTCTTTTTATTTTTTCAATTAACGCCTCAACGATTCATCTTTTCAACAGAGCGTTAAATCGGCAGATGGCCCCTTGCTGCCTATCCGAGCCACCCCCTCCTGCTTTAATAGCACACAATCTATGCAGTAAGTTTCAATAGACAATGAATAAATTATGTATCAACAATGTCATAATCCCTGGTATTTTCATGCGTGAAATTCAAATTTCGATTCGCTCAACGAACATTCAACTTTATAATCCACTTGACAATGTCACAAAAACCTTCAAGGATCGTTGCGTTCTCAGCAAATGAAGTGCATATTAAGAAAACTAGATGCGTTTAATCGCTATATTGTTTATATCAAAATCCTTTTACAAAGAGATGGCAGTAAAAGGGGTTATCCTGGCGTTAAGTGCCTCGGATCCTCACGATTGAAATATTTCCTACATCTGTCAGAGTGAGCTATGGAAACGGGAAATTCTGCTGGGAATAGCACCTTCGACGAGTGTGATGTCATTTCACTATCAAGATCAGGAACCACCATTGCTGTAGCTCTGTGCTACGGAATCCTCATCCCTCCGATTGTCCTTGGTAATGGGCTCGTTGTAATATCGTTTATAATAAACCAGAAGCTTAGAACAGCAACCAATATCTTCATCTGCGGTCTGGGTCTTAGTGACCTTCTAATTGGCCTATTCTCGGTGCCATACTGGACTTATATATCATCTTTAGAGGTTATCATGGACGCGTATTGCACCCCTTCGTTATACAAGGTGTATATATGCCTCGATATATGGACAGGATGTGCCTCTATTCTCCAACTAACAGCAATCGCCATCGAGAGGTTGTACTTCACTGTCGCACCTCTAAGGCACCGACGACTTCCACGTTCGCTCTACTGGTACATGATCGGCATTGCATGGTTCTATTCTATATTTATGGCAGTCTTACAAACGGTACAAAAAAACTGGGTTCAAGGATACAGCCTGCTTTTATTGATCACTTGCTTCGTCTTCCCATTATTTATCATAGTTGCTGTATATTTATATATTTTAAAAGTTGGTCGACGGCAAGCACAAAGGAAGCCCAGCACTCGAAAAAGAATGGGATCGACTGGAGGAGATTTAAAAGAATTCAATATCTTTATAACCGTGATTGTGATAACTGGAGTTTTTGTGATTGCATGGGCGCCATTCTTCGTTGTTACGGTTGTAGCTTCTCTATGCGGTAATTGTATATCTCATCCAGAACACGACTTTCTGGTTCAAGTTGTCAAATGGATGCATTACAGCTCTAGCGCTATTAACCCTTATATCTACGCTTATAGAAACGAGGATGTAAGATTAACTTTCAACAAAATTCTACGCTTGGTGTGTTTTTGTGCTTGCTGCTCGCGTACACGTCTTGACAAGGAGCGAAAAAGCAAGAGGAATGTTCGTTTACATTCAATCCAACAGGGAACGCGGAAAAACAATGATAACTTGGATAGTCGCGGTGGAAATATGCAGTCTAAGAATAGAAAAGATGGTCAGAATCATCCAAGGATATTAGACATTGACGAGTTAATTGGGCACACGTCGAGTTCTGGAACAAACGCTCGACGGGATCCGAGAGGAAGAGAATGGAGTGTCGTAAAACAAACCACAAGGTCACCTGTCATTAGGGCTCAAGATCCAGCCGAGAAAAACGTTCGCTTTTATGAAAATAATGGCTTCGTGGGGATGGAGAGAGATATTAATAGAAGTTCTAAGCAAAAAGGAATCGAGAATGAAGCTTTTCATCTGCAAGAAATGAGGACAGAATTTAATGTAGAAGAGCAAAGAAATAAAAGGTTTTGTAGCTCTCATAATAAAGAAAATAAAAGACAGCCAAGGGTTTCAGGAAAGTCAACCAATCAAAATACGGCTAAAAAATCAGGTATCGCTCATCTCAACCACAATGACGTAACTTCAGGAGTTTCGACCAATCAGAAGAGGTTTCGTAAATCGCGTGACGCGGATACGACTAGGAACGTTCGAATTGGTAATAATGAAACGTCACAAAAATCGACCAATCAGCTTCAAGTTTATAGACCACGTGACAAGAAACAGTCCAGGAGTGTTGATGTTGATCATATCAACGCGTGTAATGGGGAAATTTCAGACGACGTGTCTTACGTTTGACCGCTTGAGGTCAACTGGGTTTTGACGACGTGTGTTTGATCCAGACGATATAAAGAAACTGCAGTTAAGAGGTTAATCATGGTTATATTATTACTTAGCAAGGCTTCTGTTTCTTTTGACAACCTCTTAACTCAGCTATTTAATTAATTGGTGAATTTAAAAAAAAAATCCTCTCCCCTGGATTCACATATGAACTATATACTTACATGCATTGCTTTTTTAATTAGAGCTGATTTACAGTAATTAAACTGGACATTAAGCTTTAAATCTTATTGGATAACAAATAGGGCAGAACACAGGCAGCCCAAACAAGGTTTCTGTCTGAAGTTGTTGATTGAGCGCTTTCAATTTTTCTGTAAGCAACAGGAAACTGCACACGCGACACGACTCTCCCACTTCATCAAGATCACACTTTGATAAACTAGTATCATTAACCAATCATATTGCGACATTTAGTTCAATATATTTAACCAGCCAATCAGATAGCACATCGATATAATAACAGCGTGAGAACATGATAATCTGATTGGCTAACGCTGTTATCAGCTCAATCTCTGTCTTGTTTACTGTTATCTGATTGGTCAGTTTTATTCAACTGATCCCAGTTAGTGTGTCCACACAGTAAGTCTGCGAATCTTTACTGAAGCTAAAATGCCTGACTTTTGGAAAGCGTGGAATTCGTTCTCATTGCTATTGACTGTCATTGAAATGAAAGATAGACTGAGAGCTTTTACCGTTTTATTATTCATTCAATTATTGCAACAAAGTAATTACGTTTACAACTGACCATAAATCGGCTGAAGGCAAATGCACTAATCGGGATACCTGCGGGTAAAAGTGATTTGAGCTCTACATTGTGATATAGCAAAAGTTGCTGTTGTTTTTGATTCAAAAAGAAAGATTACTTGGCAATCATTTTAAACAACGATCATTTGAACACTTCCGATCTCGTACTCGGAGCCTATATTTCTTACTGCGAAAACTCGAGCATGCGCAGAAATAAATAAAGGCTCTGGTACGAGATTGGGTCATCCAAATTACAAATACCGGCTTGAGCATGCGCATTAACAACCACCGATTCAACATGGTTGCTAGAATTTTTTGGAAGAGGAAATTGAGAGAATTATAGAAGGAAACTATAGCGGGGGGGAAAAAAACAACGTTGAATCGAAAAAAAATTAATTGACCACGCCTTTTGCACGGCCCCTCATTGGATTGGCTACCCGTGAGTCAAGCATCATGATTTGTCAGTTGTGAACGAAGCCGCTTTTTATCCATCACAGTTTATTTTCTTGGATCTCTTTCACGATATGCCGCCATTTTTGTTTTCTAATGAGAATAAAATTCTTTGTTTAAACCCGTCTAAAAGCGTTTGAATGCGAAGTTACAGGGGAAAAAAACTCTTTTTCTATCCAACATGGCTGTCGCTTGAGAAATATACATGTTTAAGGAGTTTTTGTACAAGTGGGATCCAGCGATGCGGCAAATTCGTAGCCATACTGTAGTCGTACCGTATCCTACCGTAGCCGTAACTACGACTTGTGATTGGATGAATTACTGGAAGGCAAAGCGGAAGCCATTTCAATGTTACGGTATTTCATACCGTGTACGTGCTGTAAGTCAGTACTGCATGTTTTCCCGTCATACGAAACCTATCTATTAACTCAGTACCAGTCTTTTCTCCCTTTTTAGTCGGTTGTTACATACATCTGGACTCCGCCATCAAAATGTTTTTTTCGCGTTTTAAATAAATGTATTCAGATTCACTCGGGTATCTCCGGACCTCTCTTTAGGAGTGATTACTCGTTCTTGAAATAGCCGATTTTGTCATGACGTTTTTTCTGTTTTAGAGGCTTGGCGGGTCACGTGACAAACATTAATTTTCCATAGAATTGACTAAAATGTAAATGTAATAAATGAAAATCTTATGGTCTTAAAGAGCATAGCAAATTGAAAAATTCAAAACATTTTTGAGTTTAAATGTTTAATTCGTAAGATTTGATTACATATGCAAATAATTAATGACTTTTACTCGCATGTCTAATCATTTTCTTCCATTTTAAGATCAGTTGATTGAATTTTATGACTTGTTAACTACCATTCAATACTGCAGCGAATATAGCTACACACAGTGTTTAATATTCGTAATATACTCAAACACCGCAAAATTCTGTTTCAATTCAGCTGTAAGTGTCTTTACGTATTGCCAAATCTCGCGAGGAGCTTCTGCATAAGATGTTGAATGAGTTGGTTTTTAACTTTTAAAAAAATAATAGTAATAACTAGACACCCACTCTATAACGTGATTGTAATATAAAAATAAACACTCCTTGCAAAAACAAAGTGGAGCACGGGAGGAGCGACGTTAATGCTGAAGTGATAAAAGTTCCGTCAACTAGCACGAATTTTGGTGTTCTGAGAAAATATTCAATTCAAATATTTTCTCTGGTTTCTCAGTCTGACTTGTCTCCCTACCAAAATACTGTTTTATACATTGTGACTACACCAACTAAGGCCACTACCCAGACAAATTTTCATACAAATTAGCCAATCACTATCGAGTATTTAATTGAATCTGCACACATTTTCATATTTTTCCTTTTAAAAGCATATATTTTACTTTATACGAGTGTGTGTGTATGATAAGAATTGAGCAAGAAACAGTTTACCAGAATTTATCAATTCATCTGTTTTGCAGCGTAAAAAAAAGGATTTGTAATATAAATTTAATTTGGTTGGGTGGCCTTGTAGTCGCACTGTAAGTGACGATAATATATATATTTAGGCACTGCCTAAAAGCGGAGCTCCCRATACGGAAGTCACAGAGAGAACAATTTGAATGAAACTGTAAGGTAAAAATAAGATCGGGGAAAAAATCTTTTTTTTTTTTAATTCGAGATGAAGATAATTTCTCACATAATAACCATGCAGTGAAATCGAATCAAAATGCAGTACAGGAGCTCCGCTACTAGAAATTCTAAAATATACCAATTTCTATTCCACTTCTATACTACATATTTTAATTTTCACGCATTCCCAAATGCAGTCATTTATTTTTCTATTTTTTTAACTGTAGAATATTAATCCAAGTAAATTTACTGAAATTTAAAACTTAAAAATATAAAATTCACTTCTAAAAATAGCAGTGATTTTTGACTTTTAAGTTTCCCATGGTATTGTTCATGCCATTCTAATCTCTAGATTTTGAATTTTTGAGATTTTATCTTTTAAAAAGCAAGGATATCTTTGAATGAATCTGTTAGATGATTATTGTACAGATAAAAATAAAAATATACCAAATATAATGGCAAATAATAATATTAAATAAAAAACGCATTTTCTTGGAGTGGTATATTGCTTCAATCTCTACCGAGAACCTTCTAAGACAAGATAGGATGTATGAGAGAAATATTGTATAAATCTTTTACATGCTTCCACATCGCATTTATCAATTACATAAATCGGGAATTTAAGTCATGAATCTTTTTCTCGTATATATAGAAAAAAAAACTGATTCATAATCATAAACTTTTAAACTTATGATTAGAAAGAAAAGTTCAGCCTAGAAAATTAAAGCTTTATCAGTTTAAAACCATATACTTTTTAATTATCGTTTAAAAAACTGATTGGTTAAATTGAAATTATCCAGCGCTGTGATTGGTCAATGATTTTTTCATCCTTCAATATGATTGGTGGAAACAAATATGATTGTAATATTATATTTGATAATTGGCCTACGACTGGCCTAAGAAGCATTAGTTAAAAAAAGTCATTACAAGAAAAAAGACTTGACACAATGTGTAAATTTTGGTTTCATGTATTTCAGATATGCGCTCTTTAGTCGTGAAACGTGCAAAGCGTGCCGTAAACTTGAAAAACAAGAAATCGGCCAAGTCGTCAGCTCTCGGACAAAAGACATTGGTAAGTTACCTTTTTTTTCTTTCTTTCTTCTTTCTTTTAAAAGACATTGTTATTTGATTTATTTTTTCTTTATTCTTTTTTTCGGAGACTCCTTTTCTCTAACATTTTTGAATAATAGAGAGCGAGCGAGCAATATTCAAGATTTTTGATCGGAAAGAAACCAAAAAAAAGTAACAAACAGACCAAAATTAAAGAGAGAGAGAGAAAGGATTTTAAATGAAATCACTCTTTTCAAAAATGGTCGAGCCTTAAAAAACGAGGCGGTCCCTTTAGAAAGGTTTGGGGATAGATGCTCACACAAAAATATGGGTATTTTGTACTCAAAAAGGCAGTCGTTCAACAAAGGTTACAAGAGTATTCCCAATTCAAATTCGGAAATAACCGATCGACATTTGATAACAAGAGATGGTCGTTCTAACCAAATGTTATAAGATGTTGTAGGTCGAATTTGATTTTTTTAGCTTAATTTTAGCTAATATGTGTAGTTTTTACAACAAAGATTTAGTTCGTAAGAAATACGTATTGAACCGAATCTTAGGAGCATTTATTTAATTGAATACGGCAGTGGTGTTAATGATAATGATACTAACATTAGATCGATTCGATTTCTCATCTTCAACAAAACATTTAGTGAAGATTAGTTAGAAATCTATAAAAAAAAACAGGCTCAAAATAAATATTCTTTCGCAATTTTTGTCTTAATTATAGATAATAATAATAATTTTTGGTTTGGTTTTCGTAGGACAAATTTCCCTTAGCATAATCTTAAAATATTAATATTATAAGAACCAATCAGTTTAATAATTCATAAACTTATGGTTTCACTATGTTTTAAACCGAATAATTAAAATTTGGTTTGTTAAAAGCACAACTAATCAGGGGCGTAACCAGGGATCTCGCGGGGGAGGTGCACAGTCAATGATTTGCAGAACCAAAAAAAAAACAAACAAACAAACAAACAAACCAGAACCAAATTTTAAAAAAAGAAGGAATAATGGGCGAGTGATTCCTAAAACTGCTACAATATGCAGATGGAAATTGGTCTTCATTTAATCAAAAAACATTTACATGCAATATTAAAGCAAAAGGAGATAGATGAGCGGACCAAAAGCTTTTATGGGGGGTGCACGTGCAACCTGTGCTCCCCCCTGGTTACGGCCCTGCTAATATCTAGTCATGTGTAGTTAGCTAGATTAAGTTTCATTTTCAAGTTATCAAGGCCAAGTATAGGCTGGCTTTCCGACCAAACACCTCAAGGGAATTTAACAACCCATTTCCCGACTTAACAGGACTTAAGTACCTGAGAAACAAGAAGTCTGTCGCTACTTTTTTATACTCAAAATTGCTTAAAAGCATAGATATTGTACTAATTTTATTGGCAAACTGAATGATCAATTTTGTCCTTGATTTCTTTGATGTCGACATGAAAACCCGCATTTTATCTGTTCACTAAACATACTCTAGAAATTACTTTCTTAATCCTTGCAGTTTTCGTCTTACATATACGTATTTTAAAATTGAACAAAAAGGAGATTAAAATACGCTTGTAGTAGAAAGTCTTAATTCTTTAATATTGTCGCAGAAGTTATATTGAGGAAGGACAACAATAATAGACCGGCGCCTCAGACCCACAGCTTTCGTGGTTTCTATTCTTCTCGAAGTTTATCGTTAAACTTCAAGCTTTAAAATCCTTTTTCCTTCCTGCTTTTGTTCTTACAGAATTGTTTTTACTCAGGACGGTAAGTAAAAGCCAAAATGTTCCCGCCAACGGAGAAAGCGTTGGTATAAGACGTTCGGTGTTTTTTATCTTCAAATCCTTAGAAATGTTATTGAAGTCTAAAGGAGTAACGTTGACAGAGTACTTTTACTGAGACGACAAGACGCTATATCTACATTAAGAACTCTCACATGGAATATAAACACCGATCGATTGTCGGCTTTTGAGTAAATACATCGAAAAGAATTACAATATCTGCATGGTGGTAATGTAACCTTATATATTCGAGATTCAATAAAAAAATCTTCCCCAGCCTAGACGTTTAAAAATTGTAACTACGCATACATGCGTGTGGAAATGGAGGAAAATGGCGACCGCGTTTTATTTCGTAATCCAAAATGGCGGACGCATGAATTCGTTGGATTTTCAAATACACCCTGCTAATATTTCCATAAACTCATTGTTGTATTTTGTTCATTTGATAAATGTACACTTACAGTATTTTGCACATCTTTTTATTCTGTCCTTTAGGCCCCGTCCACACGTATCCGGAAATTTTTGTATCCGCAAATTATTTTTTGCGGATACGAAAATGTTCGCGTCCACACGCAGCGTATTCGAATCGTTTTCACCGTCCACATGTATCCGTTTTCGTAAAATTTGCGGATACGGACACAAAAATTTGCGGACACGTGTGGACGCAACCCGTATCCGTAAAAAAAAAGGCGGATACAAAAATTTGCGGATACGTGTGAACGGGGCCTTAAAAGTGCCTTTCGATCGTTTTAGTTGCAACACCATATCGGCATTATTTTTTTAACTACGGACCGTCAATACCTTCGCTTTCTGATAAGTCGATTACCAAAAATCTAGATCCAGACTGATTTCCGCTGTTATAGACAAACTAGACATTTTTTCCGGCCCAAATAGACCTCCCGACTATAACTGGCTTGATGTTTTCCCATTTCAGAACAGTGTCAAGATTTTTTATTTGAGTTGTATCCATACTCATGTGTCTTCTCACGTGCAACCGTTAAACAAAGAAATAATACTCAAGGGAATGACACACGGTCTGAAATGGGAAAACAATATGGACAATACTCCCATTTCGAGTTCGCCTTTGCTCAGTCTTAGCCTCGACAGTGTGCAAATGTGTTATTTTATTTCATTAAGGCCCATTGTATAGTAAGGAACTGTACTTGGTCGGGAGCACTACACGAGTTGGTTAAAATTCCACGGGTTTTGGTTGAATGGTTGAATTTTAAGGGACAACCGAGGTTAAGGCTGAGCAAAGGAGTAACCATTTGACTTCATGATGAAAGAATTTTTATTGTCATTAGTATGGCTGATATGAAAGATAACTAAAGAAAAGTAAACCTAATGTCAGTTACGCCGGTCAAGTTGTTTTACTAAAATCTGATAAAATCTTTCTGTTGATGATACTTGATTCCTTGATTAACCTGAAGAGCATTGATGACCATTAAAACTGAGAGACCTTTATCACATTGTATTTTATTCAAAGTCTGGAAATCAAAACACCGAAGTAAAACGAATAAACACGATAAGAGACGCTGGATGAAGATAACTAGACCGTGGGGGCACTAGAAAAACTAGAGATATAACTGACCACGAGGAGCGAGGGCTCACAGAATAGTGTTAATAGTAGTGCTGACCACGAGGAGTGAGGGCTCATAAGTCAGTGTTTATCGGTGCTGACCACGAGGAGCGAGGGCTCAATGAATAGTAATTGGTTGTGGTAGACTGAAGTTTAATTTTCTTGATGTAATTAAGATGTACTATTAATGCACTCATCCAAACATCCCCTCCCCCCCTCCCTCCCTCCCAAGTGCGGTCAATTTCAACTTTTATATTCTAAAAATTTTAAAACATTTATATAGCTTTTCATAACGAATTTATTTTGTGCGAATAATTTTGCGCGACCACTTCAATTGACCAGAATACCTCAGCTAAACTTCACAATATCATAAAGATTTTGAAAGTATCGCCCCTGGTGCGATATGACTTTTATTAGCAAGGAAATAATACCGACTCACAGCGCATACATTGCACAATCAACAATACTAAAGAACTGAAATGGATTCCCTTTTTTCTTCTTGTGTATCCGGCTTGCGGAATGTACTTGCTGCACGCACACCGCCATTATCACATACCAGAGCACTAAAATGGCTTCATATTCCGCCGACTTTCGCATGCAAATCGCAGCAGCTATATACTCAGCCACATCACGAACACCGGCATTTAAATAACATAACCTTTAAATTTGACGGCGGGTTTTTTCCCCATTATGACTTTATCGCGTTAATGAAACACATAACACTGTAGCACTGAAATGGCTCCCCGTAATTTAAGGATATCTAAGTGCCTTGTAGGCGCGAAACAGACACGGTCGCAGCACGAGTACAGCAAAGTGCATCCAATTTAGCATTTAAATGGCTTTTACATTTTAGCACATGATATAATGTTTAAACATGACACAGGTTTGCTGGTTTCCCCTACAGCACCGTAATGGCTTTTTACTTTTTAAAGCGAGTTATTAAATTGAGATTTGAAGGTGAAGTTTACTGAGTTCAGAAAATGCGTAAACGTTAGTACTTATGCTGCAAAGTTATCTTCTTCATCATCATGCTCATAGTCATCATCATCATTATCATCATCATCATCACCATGCCATCATCATCATCATCATCACCTCCATCACCATGCCATCACCATCATCATCATCACCTCCATCACCATGCCATCATCATCACCTCCATCACCATGCCATCATCATCACCTCCATCACCACCATCATCATAACCATTATCATCATCACCATCACTATCTTCTGTTACAGCCAAGCCATCACTTGCCGTTAAAGGCTCTTTATTAAGGTCACTCCACACGCACTACCACTACATTCTTTATTCACAATACGCAACTTACATGTTAATTTTTTTTTTAAACGGAGAACCCGGAGAAAAACCTTCGTGGCAAGAGAGAGAGAGTTATCCATACCCTGACCTTGATCAGCCCAGAGAGCCGGTTGTTTCAAGTTTCGATAAATTTCTAATTTTTATTTACGCATCAAGGTCGGTGGTTTTCGGACTGTCGTATGGCACATTATGCATCTAGAAAGATTGATTAACGATATAAAAACAGATCAAAACTCGTGAGTCTTTGCACGTTGAACAAAATAGTCCCTGTTTTTCGATGGTAGCACTTAGGAACAGTCAGTATATAACAAACTTGTGGCCCTCGTTCTATGATTGGTTTAGTTCAATGATTTTTTGTCAACTGAGCCACAACGTAAATGAAAATCTCCAACCATTTTTGCTGCTAGAACAAAAGATGTAACAAAACCTCTATCAATTTGCGTATGACTAAAATCTTCTAATATTCATATACTGATAAGCATAATTAAAGTATGGTTTTAAACACAATCCCACCAGTAATTATCGTGATATTTTTATGTCCTATTGTTTTGATCAACGTATTTACCGAATGGTAAACCAACTTCAGCTTAAAACTAAGATGTCGTCAGTAGATACGCAAACTAAAGGCTGTTGAAATGCTGTTTTGTCATGTCTGGTAGGACAGGACGTCAATGGCAATCCTCCTAGTCGTATAAGCTGTCTTTATTATGATTGTTTTTTAGTCATTGTAAGTGAAATTTGACTTGTTACACTGTGAATCTGAAGTAAGTGTGTCATTATCTCAGGTTGGCGTGAAGAAAGGACACTTTGAGAAGAATTCTGAACAGCTAGCACCACCATCGGCAGAAGGTAAGTTATCGTCGTAAAAAACCAAATAAAATTGTCTGTGTAACATTTTTACTTTAAAATTTTGAGTTTGAGTTCTCCTCCTCTTCACTCAGTGAACAGTTAATAACAATATAAATTAAGACCAAAGCAAAAAAACTTAAAACTATATAGCATAAGCTAAAATACAACACACAGACGATTCACCAATCTGATGTTGATAAATTCTTACTAAACAGAGTTATACTAAACAAGTTTTAGTAGAAAACACCAATTTTCGTTCTTATAGAAAGTCATTTTCAAAGTCTAAATAATTGGCAATTTTTATATTATTATTATACCCGACTTCAGGAATGATGTCATTTGTTATTGTTTTACAATATGTAACTTCAAACATTTATAGTTACTTTTGTATGTTATATGATAATATTTTGAAATCGTTGTTTAGCAAGGTTCTATATTTCTGATATTTCAGCAAAATATCAATCTATAATCGATAACTTGTCTGGTTAATTTGTAAAAATTGTTAAATTTAACAAAACTGTCGTTTATTTTTGTACGAGTTTCTCTCCTTTTCTTGCCTATCTTTCCATTTTCCTATTATATTTGTCTTCTTTCTCACCCTTGCGCTTCTAATCTATTTTTCCAACGTATTTTTTGTCTGCCAAAGAAAGATAAACAATTTTCTTTACTGACGTTCAATATTTTGTGAAGTCGCATTAACATGCTGAGAAATAAGACATCTTCTTTTCCAACGTATTTTTTTCTTACCAAAGAAAGATAAACAATGTTCTTTTACTGACGTTCAATATTTGTGAAGTCGCATTAACATGCTAAAAAACGAGACATCTTTTTTTCCAACGTATTTTTTTCTTACCAAAGAAAGATCAAGAACGTTTTTTTACTGACGCTCAATATTTTGTGAAGTCGCATTAACGTGTTATAAAATAAGACGCGTTAACATCTGTGGACGCATGCTATCTGTGTACAACCAGGCCGACGCGTGGACTAAATCTTCTGACTCGATATATATCGTGGGTTAGATAGACGAAAGGCTGGTTTTCGATTACCGGATCATCATGCAGGTCGAGTCACTTCCTGTAAGAAGTGGGTGGGAAATCTTAGCGTCTTGTTGTTGAAGAAGGTAACCTGTAGTTTGATTTTGAGTTTCCATGGTTGTTTTTGGACACTTTTTAATTTCATTTCTTGACACTTTTTTATTCTTTAATTAACGAAAATTATCAATGTTGATTGCTGATTATGTCAGGTGGAATGTCAGGTGTCATATTGTTGAAATTTGACAAATTTACAGACGTTTGTATTACTAAGAGCATGCGCTATACTACCTGAGTCATACAAACATAGACCGTTTTCTCAAGACTGCGTGCGCATCCAACTTGACGGGCCACAAAATTGAAAAACGCAAATTTAGTAAAATGAAGAAGCCAGTTTTATATTTAAAGTGGAGAATAATCGATTTTATGAATTCTTGTCGAAAAATCTCATAGAAATGTATGATAATTCTCATTATAAAGTAGTGGTCACTATTGCAACAGTAGTGGTCACCATAGCAACAGTAGTGGTCACCATAGCAACTGTAGTAATCACCATAGCGACAGTATTCATCATAGCGAAAGTAGTGGTCACCATGGCAACAATAGTGGGCACCATAGCGACAGTAGAGGTCACCATAGCAACAGCATTGGTCACCATAGTGATTTTATTTCTAACATTATTGGTTTCTTATATCACTTTATATCCATCTTGTTTTCTTTAATGTCTTTGAAGTCAAACTTATCTTACTCTTATCTTACTTTATGGAAGGCAAAGCCCGGGGGGGGGGGGGTGTATCGGCAGTGTACACTCGCCTCACCTCTGGGGTCTCGGGTTTGATTCCTGTGCTAGGCGTCACATGTGAGTTGAGTTTGTTAGGTCTCTCCCTTGATTCGAAGGTTTTTCTTTAGGTTGTCCGGTTTTCATACCTCTACAATACCTAACACGCTAATCAATAGCAATGTGCCTTGACTTAGATCAGCCCAGAGGTTGTTTCAGGGTTTGGATCTGCTGGTTAGCCGTGCCCTGACTTAGATCAGCCCAGAGGTTGTTTCAGGGTTTGGATCTGCTGGTTAACCGTGCCCTGACTTTTAAATGAATATCAGCCCAGAGGTTCAGATTCCAGGGCGTAGATAAAATTGGAAGTCTTATCTCAGTCTACAATCCCGTTATTAAGCTCTACTTGATGTGATTTTACTGACTAAGAAGAGAAGATATCAAACCCTTGAACGGTCAGACTTCGTATGTCACTCGACCGGTTTCCGCTCAGCTGTGGTATTCACTTATCTAACATGTGTTCAAATTCGCTCGTAATCCTCAAATGTTTGCCTTTACTCTTTATCCTTTTAGCCAGCCAAGTAGTGAAAGTAATCTTTCAAATGACTGACACGTTAATGTGTTAATGAAATTCCTTGTAATAGCAAATGAGATAGATGCGTTCTTAACACTAATCGCCTTTGTACTAGTTGGCGATTTCCTCCTCTCGCTCAGAATCTCGGCGGATGATTTATTTTTGGTGGTGTAAGCATGATAAAAAGAAAGAAAACGAAATGAGGGAAGAATGGAAGGGGAAAAGAATAGAAGAAAAAGAAAATAAACGAAAGTAAAGGAATAAAAATGAAAAAAAAAAAAAAAAGAAATGAAAAATTGTGTGATATTTCTAGCTAAAAATATTTTTTTCGAAGCTCTCTTCCTCGCTCGTACTGTTTCTCTTTTTCTGTTTTTCTCTCTTGTATCTTATGGATTTGTAGCTATTGTATTTATTGATAGTTTTCCGTGGTCGTCGTCATCTATCTCCTATTAATAATCTGACATTTTCATTATCCGACATTTCCTTGTAATTAGTGCTTTCTCGTTTATCTTGCTTTAATATCATTTTACACTCATCAAACCACCATTGACTTGGTCTCGTGTGATTAATGTATTCCTAATAAGACAGAGATGCTAAAATCAGAATCTTTCGCAATTCATGCCACACACATCTACCCCATAATGACCTTCCATTACTTCTAGAAACACGTGGAATTAAAGAAATTAAAATTTCGGCTATCTTAGTTTTATCTTTAGATTATAATCCAACTTCAGGATCCAATACTTCAATCTCAAGTTGTAGAAGAATTATAGTTTTATAGAATTGTTGGCAGTACAATCCAACATAGCTACTCCCTAAGGAATGATTCTAAACCAGTTATAGTGAACATCATCCAACATGGCTGCCACTTTTATTCACTTAGGAATGATTACAAACCACCTATAGTGAATATCATCCAACATGGCTGCCACTTTTATTC